AGCGACTGCCGAGGATTTTTACAATGATATATACCATAAATAAAGGATATAAAGGTCAATTTAAATCTCTGAAGGAATGTGAAAGAGCTCTCTAATTTTTTTTTTTTAATAATAAAAAGAAAGACCAATAAGTTCATTGTATTTGTGAGAGAGGTCGGGAGCAAGTTGCCGTCAAAGCAGAGCCAGCATGAAGTGGGTCACTGATTCACTTTCGTCCGTTTGTTTAAATTTTTTACATGAAAAGTATTTTTTTAAAAAAAATAATTTCAAAATATTTGAATTTTTTTAAAAAAGCAAAATTTAAAAAAAATCAAAGTTTTGATTACTTTCAAACTAGTATAAGTAACTTCTAAATAATTTCTACTTTAAATATAAATTTTTTAAAAAAAATTTATATTTTATAAACACTTTTTTTTTTTTTAGTTTATTCAAACGATTCCTAAATCTCATTTATTTTAGTCAACTTGAATTTTATATGACTTTGGATGCTAAGAACCAAAATGGCTGCAGCTTGCATCAATTAATTTAAATATTTAAAATATCACATTAATATGATTTTTCTTGTACTAAATTAATGAAAAGTCAAGTAATTTTAAAAATGGGGCTTTGAACTGAAATTTCTAATTATGGTATGACCAAAATATCCTCAGGAATAGAGAATATTTTCCAATTTTAGAGACAAATAAGAAGAATCTCTAAATCTAGTCAACACATAAGAAGATCGTTTCTACTTCTCACCATAGTCAGACACAGTTTGCTAATCTTGAGATTAAGTTTCATAAAATTCAAAGTTAACGGTATTCTAAGTTTCATAAAATTCAAAGTTAATGGTATTCACCAACTTTGATTAATTAAAAAAAAAATGTTATTGACCACTGTTAATCGTATCCCCCCCTCTAAAGATTTATGATCAGGACCCAAAAAAAAAAAAAAAAATGCAGCCAAAGTTGAATTATGAATAGGCTTTGATATTTATTCATTTATTTATTTTGGGTAGGGAAGAGAAAATCAAGAGATTTTATCCTAGTTCAACATTTAATTAAGTAATTGAGGATACTTTTAGATATGGGAAATTAAAGTAAGCAACATGTAAATCATCTTTCCTTTCTTAACATTATTCTATTTGCAGGGAGTTTGGTTTCACCATTGAAAGTTGCATGGTTCTTCACTGTGTTTCTCCTTTTTTAATTTAATCAGCAATTGGATGCTGAGTTTTAAAAATTTTTTATCAGGAAAGTCAATTGGATGTTGATTTTATTAGAAAAATCTGATGTTAGAAGAGCCAAATCTTGGTACCGAATTAAATAAATAAACAAATAAATGTAATTTTCTTAGCCATAAACAAAAAAATAAAGATAGAAAAATATTTTTCTAAAATCATTTTGGACAATAAAAAGTCAAAATTTTGACCTAATTTTTCATGTAGCTTATGTAAGATAGAAAGTTATAGATTTAAAAATTTAAAAGTCTGAAAGTTTTTTAGATTTAAAAATTTAAAAGTCATATTTATCCAATTTACAAGAAAATAAACGGGGTAAAAATTTCAATTCTTTGGACTTGACCTTAGTTTGTGAAGAGATTAATTCAAAATTTTCCAATTTAAGACAACCACATTATCTCCTTTAATTTCTCCAAAAGAAAGCTTAAGCCAATTTCTGATCGGTATACAAGTATAAAATGAATTTTGGAATAATTTAATATCATTTAGACCAATGCCCTTTAAAAAAAATATGCTAATTATTTTTTTATATTGCAAAACAATAATTTAGGGCCGGATATTATAAAATAAAAAATAAAAAATCATGCGAAATTTACCTCAGCGAAGGAAGCAGTTAAGAACATGCATGCTACCCAAACGTAGAACTACAAGCATGGCGGCCGAGGAAGCGAAACTACGTGTTTGTTTTCACATTAAAAAAAAAAAGGAAAAAAGAAAAGGAAAGTAAAGGAAGAATCAAAATTTCATTAGCAAATAAGAGCTTTCTTCTCAACCAAACATAAAAAATTAACCATTTATGAACTCAAAAAACATCACATCACGTCTTCTTAAATTTCTTGTGCCGTGTCCACAATAAATTCAAATTATGTAGTCACATGAGCATATATTATTCTTATTTTAATCAGATGCTTATCTTCAAATAGAAGAAGGAATATTAAGGACTAAAATGTTATTTTCTTGTTTAATATTCATTATTCATTTTGTGCCCCAGGAAAGTCTGACGGTCCTTGTGGAAATTAATTAATCGGTGGAACTTTAGGAGGTTGGACCACTTGCTATATGCATCAAGAATTTTCTTCTTGTGTCATTAATGTCAAAGATAGTCCAAACACTCCCTTCGAGTTGCTTTTATTTTTAAAGATTTACTTTAAATTTAATTTATTACTTACTTAATAGACCCATGCAAAGATCCTTTTTACAATTGATTTCTACACGTATAATCCAAAGAAAATTAGTTGAAGTCCATGGGTTCATGGAAGAATGACATTGCTGTAAATAGAGAAAAAAAATTAAACAAAATAATTTGGAAAGCACGAAAAGGGTATTGAAAAATATAGAAGTGTCCAAAAATTCACTTCAAAAGAATTTTTTTTGAAAAAAAAATTAGCCTAATAGTCTCCTAGAGCACTGCAATAGTTTTACCTTGATATAAGCACATAACTCAAACAAAAAAAATATTTATACCCAATTAAATAAGTAATATTATATAGTGATTGTGGATTAATTATTTGAATTTATGTTAATTCAAATGATTTTAAAACTTTTCAACATAAAAATATATGGGCTGTCTCGTAATTTCATTGCAAAACATAATATGATACTATTATTTTGTAACGATCCAACAGTATTTATATTGGAGGTCAAGAGAGTGAAAATAAGTTACAATTTCTTAATTATAGGGAAAATGTGTTATTGTACATTAATATTATATAAGGTTTATAAGTTAATTAAAAATAGCTTCTATATCTCTCTTTTGCATGTAAGAGAACCTTCTTCTCCATATAATACCGCTTGATTCACATCTATCACCGTGGCAGGGCCTCGGAAACCGTTAATTCATTGACAGAATAATCATTTTCATTTAATTGGCAGGCGTCTGCGAATCTCCGGCGAAGAAGGCAGGCTTTTCAGGCTGGCAAAGAGTCACGGTTTCGCTCTTGAGCATGACTGCAACCGAGGACATGGTTGGCCTGTCGTATGCGTCTTCTTGAACGCATAACAAACCTACATGCATGTATCTCAGGAACTCATCCGGTCGCACGAATCCCTCATCAATGGATCCATCACTTCCAACCCTTTCCCTTCGTTCCACATCTGCCATGCCTGCAAACTCAACAAGTGCACTCCATATATAAACATTAAACTAATAACCCAAAAATTTCATCTTTTAGCTACAAAAATATCGTCACTAAAAAGTCAAAACTTTTACACCAGAAAAATTTTCCTCGCAACAATCGTGGAAAAGCAGCCGCCCCAGTAATATACTACTAATTGTTTGATACGGGAGATTTTAAATTTAGAGTTTTTAAATTTTGAAAATTCTAGAGCCTAGGATTTTTTATTTCCTTTTAAAAAAAGTCTGTAACTATTTTAATTATCAAAACATTGTATTAAGTATTATCCACTTTCACCGTAACGAAAATATCCCTAACGATCACATGGTTTCTGTCACGTTGACTTGCAATTTAATAACCTTTCCGTGGTCTTTTCTTCCACTCAACAATGGCCCATGATTTTTACTAAAATAGGGTTGTAATGGCGCCTGTTAATAATAACTACGTACAAAGGTTTGAGTTTATTCTATTATATGCTTTCTATTTTATCTATTTATTAGCCAAGTTGAAGACATACATGTGCTACAGTGCTATGGGTGAATCGGGAGAGACCGAAACCGATGTTCTTCCTCCCAGAGATAATCTCAAGCAATAGGACACCAAAGCTAAAGACATCTGACTTGTCAGAATATAATCCTTCCATTGCGAACTCGGGAGCCATGTAGCCACTGCCAAGAGAATAAATGTGAGAGAAATTAAATTCAATTAAGATATAAAATCAGAAATTTGACGGGACTTACTAAGTTCCAACAATCTTATTAGTATTCGCTTCCACGTCATTTCCCCCAAATATTCTAGCCATTCCAAAGTCGGATATTTTTGGGTTCATATGGTGGTCCAACAAAACATTGCTTGGCTTTAAATCCTGTGAATGATCCTAAGCCTTGAATCCTCGTGCAAATAGAGCATGCCCCTAGCAATTCCATTGATTATACTCCTACGGCGGTTCCAATTCAGCTGTGCTCGTTTCCTAGGATCTAACCACAAGAAAGTTTGAATCAAATCATCGCGTCAAAACTTCAATCCTTTGAAACTGGAAAGTTGTAGTAAAGAAGACAAACCAGGAGGAAGACATCGAGGCTGCCATTAGGCATGTATTCATAGATAAGCAGCTTTTCTTCTCCTTCCACACAAAAGCCCACAAGCCTGACCAGGTTCTTGTGTTGCAGTTTCAGAATAAACAACACTTCGTTAGTGAACTCATCCGTGCCTTGCTCAGAACAGGCAGAAAGTCTTTTCACGGCCACTTCGCCTCCATCTGGCAAAGTGCCCTAAAATTAGATGAACACAAAAGAATCTTAATAGAACTTCATGAAAAAGAGTGTAGCAACAATATTAGAGACAAAGTATGTTGGTTATCACCTTATAAACAGGTCCAAAACCTCCCTGTCCGAGCTTGTTCGAGTCAGAGAAGTTATGGGTAGCAGCATACAACGTTGCCAAATCAATAAACGGGGAGTTCTGAGCATTCAAGTTGTCCCAGGTTGCAAGCTGTCATGCAGGAAATTTTTGTTATTTTGGTCCCCCATCTCAACTACTTGATCTTCTTCCCAGAAACTTGACTTCCCCCTGAAATTTAAAAATATGACTTGATTTCAGACCAACAAAAGTAAACATAAGATCCATAGCAAAAGTGCCCATTTGAATTTGCCTTTTGAAAATTGTTTTCTTTTGGAAAATAGAAAAAGTTTGGCACAGCAAAACTTCTAGTAAATAGGCCTCCTTTCAGAAAATGACTATTTTCTACTTTCAAAAACATATAAAACAAAATATAAATAAATAAAATACAAAAGGAGGGTTGAACTCCATGAAGTCTAGCATGATTACTTGTCCTCGCTCGATGACTGCACACAAAGCCCAGAATTGGCACCACCAGAATCGCCGACCCAATTGCAAGGCTGGCGATCACCCAATTTTTCTTTGAGCTGCTGTTTGTGCTTTCTGAAACCCAAGAACAAGAAAACAAACAATAAAAAAAAAATAAATACCCAAATCTCCTTTTACCATTTCTCATATATATAATTTTATTTTTTTATACAAAATTAAAAACCTAAAACTACTGACCTGGAGGAATAGTCTGATTCTGTTGATCTGCGTCGTCATAAAAAGGATAGAACTCATACCTTAAGAAGCAGCTAGGACTGTAAAGCCTGGCGCCTCTAGACCCACCGGACGCAATTGAAGTGTTCGTGATGGCAATCTCAAGGCAAGTGCTACAATTTTGAGGTGACAAGTCCATAGAGCACTGCACGAATGCGTATATTACTTCATCATCCGTGAAATTCACTGCAGTCTTCGCGTACATGGCAGAAGAGGAATTGAACGCTGCTTGCTTCGTTAGCCCCTGCAATTAGAGATTAGGGTGATATTATGTTTTCAGAAATTTCTGTTTTTCTGATCGTTTTCATTTTCTTTGTTCAAAATTATGTGTGTTAAATTGGTGCATATGTTAGTGTTTTGAAAAAAAAAAAAAAAACTCAATTAGCAGGTTGTTTCTGAAAAACCCTTTTGGGAGATTGCTCAAAAAACTTTTTGTAAAAATTGAATAAATTAAGAAAACAACGGGTTTGCAGGAGTTGCAGCATTTTATATTTTTTAGAACAGAAAAAGTAAGAATAAATAAATCTAAGAGTAGAATAAAAATCAAGAAACAAAATTCAGAGCATGATATCAAGTCACTATCCCCAACCTGTAGTGTCTCATTCACTAGAGAGTTGAACCGAGGCTTGTCCGCATCGGGGACATCTTCTATATTGTCAAATGGGAGATTTCCGGTGACGTCCAATCGACCCAGGAACGGTCTGTCTGAATAGCGTAACTGGCAGTTCTCCTCGTACAAGAGTGCCTCGACTTGGTTTGGACAGTGCATTTGGATGTCTTCCGATGCCAAATCTATGCAGTTCTTGCACTTGTCTCCGTTCACGTATTCATAGCAGAATCCGAGGCCGTAGAGAGTGTAACCGCCGTGCCGGCGGTTACGTTATAGAAGTCGGAGAGAGAAGCGTTTGAGGAGAGAGAAAGAAGGAGGGTTTTGAGGTAGGATTGCAATTGGGAATTGTCGGCAGGGACGGTGGTGTTTGAGCAGACGGGTAAGGAGGGTCGGAGTGAACGAAAGCATGGAGAGATAACAGGGAAAAAAGGAGCAACAACTGAAACATGAAGATTTGCCTTTCTGGGGACGAGGACGAAGTAGAGAGATGGATGGAATCGGCGTCAGTCAGCAATTGTGGGGGCATTGTGCTGGCTTGCAGAAGAGCTTTTCTCCTGGAAAAGAGCACGAGAGTTCTCCCCGGAGAGAGAAGCAACGACCTTTTACAAAACTGTCACGTGCCAAATTAAAAATTTTAATAGTTTTTGGTTCTCTTCAGCGATGGAATATACGTGCCTGGTAGTTTTATATGTTTTGTATTTAATAAAAAGACTACTCTCAATTATATATTTTCTCTTTTTATTATCTATATATTTCTATAATAAAATTTTCATTTATTTTCATTTTAAAAGATTTGAACAATTCATTTCTTTAATTTTTAAATATTTTATTTATTTTCTCATTTAAAAATTTTAGAAAATTATTTTGAAATAAGAAATTTCTAAATTTTCATTAGAACTCTTCAAACATTCAATTTAATTTGTTCTTCCGAATAAAATTTAAGAATTAAGTTTATTAACTCTCCCTAAATTATTTCCAAAGATCCCTTAAACCTCTCAACTAAAAAAATATCATTTACCCCCCCCCCCGACTTTTAATGATACTATATTGATCATTAAAATTTTGCTGACACCAACAAAAGTGTTAAATTTTTAGACCAAAATGCCCTTATTACATTAACCTATTTAAACTATCACATATTCATCAATTAAGCCTCTTAATTAAAAAAAATCATTTTACCCTTGATTTTAATATCTGATGTTAAATTGCCTCATAAAAGTCAAAGAAACATATGATTTACTTAAATATAATTAACAGACCAACAAAATTGTAAAAAAGAACACATGCATTGTTGGAACTATCTTTACATTTATGAAAAAAATTAAGATTCTCTTTGAAGGAAGAGAGCTTGAGATTTTTGGGTGAGAAAGAGGAAACAGTTAGGAGGAAGAAGGGTTGGGTTTTTGGGTAGGGAGGATGAGTTACAAAACTTTTAAGAGTTATTTTTTTCAACAAAGGCATGTCAAATTTCTCTTTTTTAAATACATTACATATATATTTTTTATATATTTTATTTATATACGTATATATAATGAAAATATCATATATATATATATATATTCTATCGCTTAGCTCACCCAATTTCCCTATCTTACTCTTCCTTTCCTCTCATCCCCTCACACATCTCTCACCCGTCACCCATCTTTTAAAATTTTAAGTAAAATATTTGTCTCATTGATTTTAATCAATAAATTTTACGTGAGTTATTAAAGTTAGAAGTAAATGATTTTTTTTAGTCAATGGGGCTTAACTAATAAAACAGTAATAGTTAAAAGGAGTTAGTGTAAAGAAGATATGGGTATTTTTGTCAAAACAATTCAACAGTATTGTATTGTGATTCGCTTACGTCAACGAAATTTAAATGACCAGTTCAATGAATAGTAAACTTAGTAGATAAATTATATTTTTTGGTTAAAAAGTTTAAGTGATGATCTAATAATAGTTCAAAAGAGGGCAATAAAGTCAGCTCTAAAATTAAACTGTCTAAAAATATATATAAATAACATAAATTACGCATATTAAATCATTTTAATGTTAAGATGGACACACCCTAATTCGTCCATTTGGGCCTTGGTCGCAATAATATTATTATATGTTTACCTTCTCTATCAGTTTTTGGTGCATTATCACTAGTTCTCCTTTTCCTTATTTGAATAAAATTATTTCCACCCTTACAGTTGACTTGGAAAGTCATTCATTTAAATAAATAAAATAAAAACTGTCTTATATTTTTTAAAAAAATATTCTTTTGTAATTTAGAATATATGGAAAAGCATA